TATATATATATATATATAGAGAGAGAGAGAGAGAGAGAGAGAGAGAGAGAGAGAGAGAGAGAGAAAGAGAAAGAGACAGAGAGAGAGAGAGACAGAGAGAGCTAGATAGATCCAAAATAGACGATCAGAACTTGTCTCAAAATGAATACATGGAAACATTTTACTGCCTTACTTTATAATCGAAAACCAAAAAAAAAACAAAAAACGAATACCTTGTAAAACATCATTATGAAAAATGCAAATAGATGAAGTGTCTGCAACACAGATGATGTAAATTACTTTAGACAATGCCAATAGTTTAAACTCAGCATATAAGATAACCAACCTTGGCAAAAATTTAAAATAATAAAACAAAAAATCAAAATAGATAAACAAATTAATTAGATTAGAAACAAATTAGCAAAGTACAAAGGGAAAGATAAACACAAATCAATATGATGATAATAATAATCAATAACCAATAATGAGTAAAAAGTTAACCGTTAGGATAATACAATAGTCCTTGTATTATTTACTTTATTCAGGCTGTTATCACCATCTTCATTGCCATATTTACAGCCTTTCGGCCTCTATATCTCTGAGATGAGGTATTATGATTACTTGCATTATTTACATTATTCGGACTGTTAGGCTCATCTTCATTGCCATATTCAAAACGATTCGGCTGTTGTACTCTCCGGCCTTCAATATCTGTCTATATCTCTGGGATGAGGTATTATGATTACTTGCATTATTTAGATTATTCGGACTGTTAGCCTCATCTTCATTGCCATATTTGCAACGTTTCAGCCTCTATATCACTGGGATGAGGTATTTTGATTACTTGCATTATTTACATTATTCGGACTGTTATCCTCACCTTCATTGCCATATTTGCAACGTTTCAGCCTCTATATCTCTGGGATGATGAGGTGATTATGCATTATTTATTATTCGGACTGTTATCCTTATTCACTGTTATTTGCAACGTTTCAGCTTCTATATCTCTGAGATGATTATATTCGCATTAACGTTTCGACATATTCGCAACGTTTCGGCCGCTGTACCCACCGGCCTTCTTCAGGTGATTGGAATTTCGTACCGAACCCTTTATTTCGTCGACCGGTGTAGATTTTTCTAGTTTGACGTGCCATGCCTCTTCCAGATGGCTAAGTTATTTCCCTTCAACTCAACTCTCAATGTCTTTGGTTCACTTCTGCTGTAACCCAATATTGAACTCACAACTCTTTGGGTCTAGTCACTGTATCACTTGAAGAAAGCCGCAGCGTACAACGGCCGAAACGTTGTGAATATGGCAATGAAGATGAGGCTAATAGTCCGAATAATGTAAATAATGCAAGTAATCATAATAACTTATCTCAGAGATATAGACAAATAATAGTACTTGCTACCCATGATGCACCATTATTCAGATATTATATTAGTCGAGCCAAAACACAGTATGTATGGTCTGAAGATTGCGTTCAGGCATGAAACAGAGTATCATTGCTCGATGTTCATCTCACTGTCAAATCATATATATATATATATATATATATATATATATATATATATATATATATTTATTTATTCGAAAATTATAACATAAATATATTATAAAATCACTACAAAAATAGCCACTTTGTTTCAACACTTCTGGTGTCTTATTAAGTAATTTCAACATCATCACTTGATAAGACACCAAAAGTGTTCAAACAAAATGGCTATTTTTTAGTGATTTTATAACACATTTATGTTATAATTTTCGAATAAATAATTGTATTTGCTCTACTCTGTACTGAGCACTCTTTTAAGAATAGTATTTGTTGGTTATTGGAATTTATTCCATATACACCAATCTCATACGATGTATATATATATATATATATATATATATATATATATATATATATATATATGATTTGTAGAATCACATGTATTTTTGAAGTAAGAGTAACGGATGAGAGTTTATGGATGTAGACATTGGGACCATTCACACTTTCGCACAGGACACACACACACACATAAATATATATATATATACAAAAATATATATATATATATATATATATATATATATATATATATATATATATATATTCAACACTTATTTTAATATATTTTATTGTTATTTGTCTATCTAGACACAAATATTTAAGTAATAATAAACAATATTAACTTGCCTAAATGCCCGAGATATTTCATAAAAAATGTGTCCTCCGACAGGAATCGTACCTGTATCCTACACGGAAACGTCATATAGCCTGATGTGCTATACTATTTAGCTACAGAGGAGCGTCCCGTTAACATGTTCGATTTACACTGCTTTTAAACTACAAACTTCCCATGATTTTCTGCGAACTATCATATCTGCTCGGAGAGTATCTTAACGTAAACAAATGACGTCGTCCACTACGAAATGGACACAGTCCGACAATTATTTTAATTATTTTATTGCTATACGTTATTTACATATTGCCGGAGAACACATATTTTCTATGAAATTTCTCGACATTCAGACCGGTAAATGTTGTTAATACTGTTCATTATAAACAGAGCATTTACTTAAATATTTATGTATATATAAATAACGTATACCAATAATATATATATATATATATATATATATATATATATATATATATATATATATATATTATATACGACACAATTAATTTACGGAATACAAAATATATGTAACGAAAAATACCTGGAATATAAATTATCCATCATTATGGTTAATTTTGTGACGTCCGCTGGCCGTTAATGATTAAGTATATCTCAAATCTTCAATGTTAAGATATTAAAACAGTATTTAATTACAACCACAAATAATTACTTAATAAGAAGAAGAATTAAAATCAACCAAAGATAATTAATCATTTCAGAGAATATCTTGTTAATAGCGTGTCTCGGTTTAATGTCCGGTAAATCCTAAATCGAAACCCAAATCATCGACCCCCAATAATTCACACTAATTCGACTGGATAGTTCCAATCAAAACTCACTCAATAATCACTGCAGTCAGTAGCCTGACACCGCTATTTAAACATCTGACGGAAAACGTATGGTAATAAGTCGGTGTCGGTAGTTACTCATTTTCTTTCTATATGACAGTTAAATGCTGAGCTAAGTGTTGCATAAAACTGTGTTTATAATAATAATTTTAATTTTCCTTCCGAATCATATTATTCCAAATCATATTATTTATCAATTTATGGAACGTCTATCAATATTTAGGGATCAAGAGTGTGCAATCTCACATGTAATTCAAAATTGTCTTGCCAAAAAAAAAAAAAGAAAAAGATTAGAACAAAAATAAAATGAAATCCTTAGGAAGGCTGCTGAAGAGAGCAATCTGGAAGATATTTGAATTAGAGACATTTTAGAACTTTCTCTGTTTGTTACAAAAATGAGGAATTTCTAAAAGTAGGCACCTATTCATTTGAAAAGAACAAAATACTATTAACACATTTCATTCAATCTTGGATAACAAAGCAATATGCATATCTATATGTATACTTCTCAAAATGTGAGTGTGTATGTATGTGTGTGTTGGTGACAATGGCTCTCCACTACTTCCTGTCCATTATAACTCTCAGCAATGTTTTACTATTTACTGTCTGTTCTTGGATATATATCTTTCATAAAAACTTTAATGAAAATAAATAGTTTAAATTATTACAATAATATTATCTATATCTAGAATTCTCAAAATCTGTGTGTATGTATGTGTGTGTGATCGGATGTTGTTTATGCGTTTCCACAGTTTCCATCCGATTTCGATGATTTTCTTTGTGTTTGATAGATAATCCTTCAGTGCTGCTTTTGAGTCCAAATTGGCTGGAAAAAATGACAACCTTCAAGGACAAAAATCGAAAATCTGTCATCTTTTTGGGGGCTGACTTTAAACTTAAACTGCTTCAATTGAACGGCAAAAATTCCCAGTAATGAAAGACCCGGTCGTAGACGAGTTGTACTGCTAATTAAAACATATTTTGAAATTCAGCTTCATTTATACTTTTCTAAATATTTCAACCATATTTTGATATTTTATTGAAAGAAACAGTAACTTTTTTTACCTAATGTAATGAAAAGATTATGCAAATATATAATTTAAATAAAGTTTTATTTCCTTATATTGCTGTTGTAACATTTTATCCAGAATACAAAATTAACGGACAGCTAAAATAGTCCATAATTAATAGGTAGCTCTTATGTATATATTCTGTTTAATTTTAATAGATGCAATTTATTTAAGTAAATGTTCTATTTTTTAATTAAATAGTATTAATTACATATAACGGCCTGAACGTTCGAGAAATTTCATAGAAAATATGCGTTTTGCAACAGGAATCGAAACTGTGTCATATACAGAACGGTTATTTGATCTGACATGCTATACTACTCAGCTATAGAGAAGCGTCTGTTTAACAAAATCCGAAAACATCAAGTCTTCGACGTTTTTTCTCGATCGATCATATCTGCTCACTAAATATATCCCAACGTAAACAATGGCATTACGAAATGGATAGTTGCAAGATAAACCCTTCGTTAACAAGTTCCATTTAACACACACACACACACACACATATATATATATATATATATATGTATGTATATATATATATATATATATATATATATATATATATATATATATATATATATATATATATATATATATATATATATATATATATATATTCTCAAGCGCAAGCGTGTCATAAGCATGTCGATAATTAGTTCGAGGTCGTCGGAACCTCATAAGTCCAACTCGACGGGAGAGTATATATATATATATATATATATATATATATATATATATATATATATATTATTGATTATAGCCATCTTGAGCCAACCCAGAACGCAGATCTACCCTGATCAGGGTTAGAAATGTAAATATACATATAAATAATTATATAATTTTTACGGGCACTATGCAAAGATACTGATAATTCATGTAGGTGAGTGCAAACGCCCATTGTGTTACCCTGAGTCAACACTAACTTTCACAGATTTCTTTATGGAAATATAGATTTTTTCACGTCCACGTTTTTCACTTCGATCTCCATAAATTTCTTTCTTTTTTTCTTTCTTTCTTTCTTTCTTTCTTTCTTTCTTTCTTTCTTTCTTTCAATCTTTCTATCTATCTATCTATCTTTCTATCTATCTATCTATCTATCTATCTATCTTAATCTGTCCATATCTATCTATCTATCTATCTATCTATCTATCTATCTGTCCGTTCATATATATCTATCTATCTATGTCAGTCTGTTTATATATATATATATATATATATATATATGTATGTTCATATCTCTCTCCCCCTCTCTCTCTCTCTCTCTATCTATCTATCTGTTCATATCTCTCTATATACATTTATCAATCTTAGTCTGTTCATATTTATCTATCTTAGTCTGTTCATATCTATCTATCTATCTATCTATGTCAGTCTGTTTATATATATATATATATATATATATATATATATATGTCAGTCTGTTCATATCTCTCTCCCTCTCTATTTATCTATCCCAGCCTGTTCATATCTATCTATCTATCTATCTATCTATCTATCTATCTATCTATCTATCTATCTATCTGTCTTTTCCAGTGAATGCTCTTATATGAAATATTTCACAAATATTTGATGGTGCGAATAGTTGAACAGAAATGAATTTTAAATTACATAACAAACTGACAAAAAGTTTCCGCAATGAAAGTCATCGCTTCAAAATGTCTACCGGTTATTTTAGATTTTCTATTAATGTTATTTCCCCAGGGCACGGATATTATTTAATCTTCAAACGCACTTTCAACAATTCTTTTATTATTTTCTATTCCTTTCAAATCTGTTTATTTTTCTTACTCGTTTTTTTAATTGATTATTTTCAGTAGAATGCGTTGCATTCCGATCAGCTAATTAAGTTCGCGCCATTAATTGAAACGAATATTTGATTCTTTTTGTCTCGGTGCCACAAACAAAGTAAAAGCTATAAAAATTGGACGAATTAAACTGTCTAAATAATAATATTAATAATAATAATAATAATAATAATAATAATAATAATAATAATAATAAAATTTGATAATATTAAAAATAATACTACAAATGTGTCTATCTTTCTGGCATCAATTCCTGACCACAGACAAACTTGCTTATAGTAAATCCACGTTTAATGTATTCACGTACTAAAATTATTATCAGTATACTCCTATAGTAAGATCGTTGCATTTTCATTCGAGGTATCATAGCGCTGTTCTTTCATTAACACTTGTTTTATCTCCTGATTTATGATAACAATCCTGGGTATGAAGATAAACTACATCCAGCAGCAAGACATCTGATCGGGAGATTGAGGCTTTACTGTTGGTCCCAAGGTTCAATCTGGCCCTGGGTGAGGGCACCAGTTAGGGTCCCATCTATGGGAAAATAGTGAAAGCCTAAACTAAAACAAAACACTCTTAACCCTTTAAGCCCTGCGTTCCTGAACAATTTTAACCCTTCTGTCTGAAAGCCTAAACGGTAGATATAAAAATAGTTACAAGTGTTTACCCAACGTTTAACCCGTGGCTGGGCATTAAGTTATTTTCTCTACCAATGGTCAACCGGTGGCTGGTCATTACGTCATTTTTCTCTACCACTGGTAAAGCGGTGGTCAGAGCTCCAAATGATAAGATAAAATAAATATTTTTTTTTGGTAAAATGGTCAGCAATATTATTTTAAAGCAAAATAACCAGTAATACAATTTTACGTTACAGCGGTGAGAAAATAACCGAAGCCAAGATACCAGGTCAGGACCGCTAAATAGATTCTTTTTTGGTTTATCACAAACAATATGTAAAACCTAGCAATTGATTCAATATAATCTTTATACGTCGTGTTTTGAGAAGGCGCAATCACCGGTTGAACGGTGGAAAAATATACTTTAAAAGGATTTGAGGTTTTGTTTCTGGGGCTCAGCTGTCGGTGTATTCTAAACCCTGCCTACAGACTTTTCCCCCGGTTTTAACCCTTTGACCCCTGACCACTGCTTTAACGGTTCTAGATAAAAATGACTTACAGTCCTGAGAAGAAGGGGTGCAATAAAAAAAACAACAAAAAAAAAAAACAGATCGCTAAAAGAGCGGGATAATGAAAATAGAAAGCACATGAAATAATCATTCAGTGACTTAAGTGACCATTCCCTTGCCATTGAAAAAAAAAACATTCCGAATATAAACATCAAGTCTACACTTACGTAACCTACAATCCTTTCGACAAAGAGGAAGATATCTAAGAACGAGGCACACAGTGTCATAGACAAAAGAGTTTAAATCAGTTTCGCAGAGCGATGAGATATCTCGAGAACATTTGAAGAGAAAAGATTCTACACTATAAAAATTCGTTCGAATACCCCGATATGGACAGTGGAACAGAGAATAATTTACACCCATATATTAACACTTTGAGACCTGAACTTTACCGGTTTTAATGTACAATCACCGGTTGAACGGTGGTAGAGAAAAAGGATTTGATGCTCAGCCACCGGTTGAAAGGTGGGTAAACACTTGTAACTATTTTTATATCTACTGTGAAATATTACATACCAGTTATTTGCAAATTTTGACTCATGTGCTCAGACAGAAGGGTTAACATTGTTCAGAAACACAGGGCTCAAATTGTTAATTATTTAGACCATTGTTTGGCATTAATATTAACTAATATGACTGTTTTAATTTATTAAAATAATTCCTAACGTATTTATTCTGCCATTATTTATCTCGATCATTAGTATCTGTCTATATTTCTGAGATGAGGTATTATGTACACTATTTACATTACTCAGACTATTGTCCTCATCTTTGTCGCCATATTTATTACAACGTTTCGGCCTTTCAGTATCTGTCTATATTTCTGAGATGAGGTATTATGTACACTATTTACATTTTTCGGACTATTGTCCTCATCTTTGTCGCCATATTTATGACAACGTTTCGGCCTTTCAGTATCTGTCTATATTTCTGAGATGAGGTATTATGTACACTATTTACATTATTCGGACTATTGTCGTCATCTTTGTCGCCATATTTATTACAACGTTTCGGCCTTTCAGTATCTGTCTATATTTCTGAGATGAGGTATTATGTACACTATTTACATTATTCGGACTATTGTCCTCATCTTTGTCGCCATATTTATTACAACGTTTCGGCCTTTCAGTATCTGTCTATATTTCTGAGATGAGGTATTATGTACACTATTTACATTTTTCGGACTATTGTCCTCATCTTTGTCGCCATATTTATTACAACGTTTCGGCCTTTCAGTATCTGTCTATATTTCTGAGATGAGATATTATGTTCACTATTTACATTATTCGGACTATTGTCCTCATCTTTGTCGCCATATTCATTACAACGTTTCGGCCTTTCAGTATCTGTCTATATTTCTGAGATGAGGTATTATGTACACTATTTACATTTTTCGGACTATTGTCCTCATCTTTGTCGCCATATTTATTACAACGTTTCGGCCTTTCAGTATCTGTCTATATTTCTGAGATGAGGTATTATGTACACTATTTACATTTTTCGGACTATTGTCCTCATCTTTGTCGCCATATTTATTACAACGTTTCGGGCGTTGTACGCTGCGGCCATCTTCAGGTGTTTGGAATGTCGAACTGAACCCTTTATTTCGCTCACTGGGGTAGGCTGTTCTCCTGTTATTTCCCCTCTACAAGTTCTCCATTGCCTTAACCAGGCATTGAACTCACACTCTTTGGGTCCTCTCATTGGATCTAACTAACGACGTTATCGACTGTTCCATGTGTCTTTTAGGACATCTGTGTATGAACTGATGGAATAAAGGAATGGGGCTTTATATACAGTGTATCAAAAAAATGAATACACCCCTCACATTTCTTTAAATATTTAAGTATATCTCTTCATGGGACAGCACGGAAAAAAATACCTTTTGACACAATGAAACGTAGTCTGTCTGCAGCATATATAACAGAGTTAATGTCTTTTCCTCTCAAAATATCTCAAAATATAGCCATTAAAGGCTAAATCCCTGGCAACAAAAGTGAGTACACCCCTAAGAAACTACACCCCTAAAAAAGTGAGTATACCTCTAAGAAACTACACCCCTAAATGTCTAAATTGAGTACTGCTTTTAATTTTCCCTCCAAAATGTCATGTGACTCATTAGTGTAACTATGCCTATGTGTTCATCGGGAGCAGGTGTATTCAAATTTGTAGTGCAGCTCTAACACTCTCTCTTACCGGTCACTGAAAGTTCCAACATGGCACCACATGTCAAAGAACCCTCTGAAGATCTTAAAAAACGTATTGTTGCACTACATAAAGATGGCCAAGGCTACAAGAAGATTGCCAACACCCTGAAACTGAGCTGCAGCACAGTGGCTAAGATCATCCAGCATTTTAAAAGAGCAGGGTCCACTCAGAACAGGCCTCGGGTAGGTCATCCAAAGAAGCTGAGCGCACGTGCTGAGCGTCACATCCAAATGCTTTCTTTGAAAGATCGGCGGAGGAGTGCTGTTAGCATTGCTGCAGAGATTAAAGAGATTGGGATTCAGCCTGTTAGTGTTCAGACCATACGTCGCACACTACATCAAATTGGTGTGCATGGCTGTCACCCCAGGAGGAAGCTTCTTCTGAAGGCATGTCAACAAAGCCCATAGATTACTGGAACCATGTCCTATGGTCTGATGAGACGAAATTTAATTTGTTTGGTTCTGATGGCCTTAAGCATGTGTGGCGGCGACCAGATGAGGAGTACAAAGATAAGTGTGTCATGCCTACAGTCAAGCATGGTGGTGGGAATGTCATGGTCTGGGGCTGCATGAGTGCAGCAGGTATTGGAGAGTTACATTTCATTGAGGGAAACATGAACTCCAACATGTACTGTGAAATACTGCAGCAGAGCATGATCCCCTCCCTCCAGAAACTGGGTCGCAGAGCAGTGTTCCAGCATGACAATGACCCCAAACACACATCCAAGACAACCACTGCTTTACTGAAGAGGCTGAGGGTAAAGTTGATGGACCGGCCAAGCATGTCTCCAGACTTGAACCCAATAGAACATCTTTGGGCCATCCTCAAGCAGAAGGTGGAGGTGCGCAGAGTCTCTATCCGCCAGCTCCGCGACGTCGTCATTGAGGAGCGGAAGAGCATTCCAGTGACTAACTGTGGAGCTCTGGTAAACTCCATGCCCAGGTGAGTAAAGGCAGTTTTGGATAATGATGGTGGCCACACAAAATATTGACAGTTGGCATGTTGTATGTTAATATTGACAACTTTTCCTAAGGGGTGCACTCACTTTTGTTGCCAGGGATTTAGCCTTTAATGGCTATATTTTGAGTTATTTTGAGGGGAAAATAAATTAACTCTGTTATATATGCTGCAGACAGGCTACTTTTCATTGTGTCAAAGTGTCATTTTGTCAGTGTTGTCCCATGAAGAGATATACTTAAATATTTGAAGAAATGTGAGGGGTGTACTCACTTTTGTGATACACTGTATGAATATTTGCCATGAAAATAACGACAGGCTTCCAAAGAGGAGTTTGTGTGAAGAGGCTATAGATGAAAGATTAAGTTCAAACACCCCGCAACCCGACATGACCGCGTATTCTTCCTCAACAATAAAGCAGGTGATGCACTATTTACTTTATTCGGACTATTATCATCATCTTTGTTGCCATATTTATACAACGTTTCGGCCGTTGTATTCTCCGGCTTTCTTCAGGTGGTTGGAATGTCGAACTGTTAGTTAGATCCAATGACAGGACCCAAAGAGTGTGAGTTCAAGACCTTGTTAAGGTGGTGAAGAACTTGAAGAGAGGAATTAACAGGAGTTATTTTCTACAGGGATCGACTTAGTGGTTATTGAAATGTTGGTAGATCTTCGCTCAGGAATAAAGATAAACTGAGAGCAACCTTTCTTGCGTCAAAATTCCATTCAAGAACTTTGAAGAGGTAGCTATGAAGAGATCAGAGCATCGTTCTAGCTGCCATTCAGGAATAATACACCATCAAGAAGCAAACATCATTCGTCTGGATGAAACACGAAAGCAAAATAAGACAGCTAACAGTATTCCTGCTGCATTTGGAGACAATACATTCTCCTGTATTGTTTGTGGTCTTTTGTGCAATTTTAGAGCCGGTCTCAAAAGTCATAGGCATGCAGATAATTAGTTCGTGGTCGTCGAAACATCATACGTCGAACTCGACGGGAGAGTCCATTCATCTATCTATCTGTTATAGTGTAACACAACTATTCTATTGTGACTCTCCCACCTATAATAAGTAGGAGTAGTAGGAGTCGGCTTAGTGAGTCAGTCAGTCGATGCCGGACGACCGTTAGTCGGATACTAAAGTATCAGCGACCACAACTAGATTTCTCTGCGTCATTCCATATTATATCAAGTTCCTAACGTTTTGAACGTCGAACCTATTTTAGGACCGACTTAGTACAAATACAAGCCTACACTGTGAAACCACTCCACAACACTATCTATCTATCTATCTATCTATCTATATATATATAGATAGATAGATAGATAAATAGATAGATAGATATAGCTCAGTCACTAAATCTATTTAAAATCTACCACAACTCTTACTGTAGAAGTCATAACATAATTTACCCATTAAAACGCACGCTACGCTAGAAACAATATGTGGGAAAACCTGAATAGCCCTTTCACTAGAGAGTTCATAATTATCGGAGTCGATTCAAGTCGGCTCCCTACGAAAGTTAATTACATGTAGGACAACATTTCCGCCAAGAAAAACATGATTTTAAATGCCATGCAAAATTCACTCTAATTGAAAAAATAGAAATAGACAGGAAAGATAACCTTCGAAAAATACTAGAGAAACATGATGACAAATGGGTTTTGCGCCTCAAACGAGCTTAACCACAAAAATAAAACAACATAGAGTTAATATATAACCCCATAAATCAAGCCCTACCCACATTTCTCCCCCACACCTGACATATATGCTTGCAGAGGTGTTGAAGTCTCACACTTATACACACATTCCCACAAATATATACACATACACAAATCACACACACACTGCCAAGGAACTAAAAGATAATATACCCTTAAGAAGCACATCCTGTTTCCAGTAACCAATAAAACTATTAAAATGACCAAGGAGGGTATTCTTAAAGTCAGGATTTTCTCATCCGCTATTTTAAAATCAACTTGAAAGAGGCCGTTTGACCAACACCAAGGTCTGACCAAAATTAACGATAAAAAAATAACAAACAAAAACAAAAAAAGAAGAAATGAAAACTACAGATAAAGTTCACTTTCTTTAGAAACCGTCATTCACTCCTGTAGTTTACTGCTACTAAAGAGCAGTTTTTTTTTCTCCTGATGATGACCATGCTGGCCGAAACTAGTGGAGGAACCTAATTGAAATAATAAAACAAAAAAATTATTGATATACAACCTAGTGTGTATAAAAATTTTAATTTTTTAATATTTTTATTGTTCAATATATATATATATATGTATGTATGTGTGTGAGTATGTGTGTATGTCTGTATATATATATATATATATATATATATATATATATATATCTTCTGTTCATCTCATTGTCATTTTATCCTCTTTGTCGAGATCAGTTCAGTGCTGCTAGCCAAGCAAATCGATAAGAAACAACGTGTCGAGTGTACACAACAATGATAGTTCCGCGCTACCTAATAACATTATAATCGAGAGAGTTGTCTTGAGTAGCGCGCTGGCCGCTGAAACCGGACACTTCTATAAGTTCGCCAGTGGCCAGGTTCCAGAGGCTGATTGCCAAGGCGGAAGAATTAATTGGATGTCGCTGACTATTCCTGTGTCGTCATTCACTTTGATGTCACCTCTTTGCTGAGTCCGATGCTTATTCCATTAAGCGTCCTGTCAAAATGTTTGGCCTGCGTGAACGGAACCTTGAGAGAGAAGTCGTCCTTAATTACAGCAGTAGACACGGGGATCTTCTGATCTATATTTCAAGATATGAACGCCACAAGTTTTGTTAATGTTCAAACCACGCGCAGAGCACGGATTTGGCTGATACAAAACTGGATTCTCATTGCAAGATTGTGTGCGTAAAAGAATGGATCAAAAGATAAAGAAAAATATCTCCTAATAAACTTATATGTCCCGGAAAGGAATATACATTGCGTGCCAAATTATTATCGAGGTAACTTTTTTTTCTAATATTTCAAAAACCATCCAATCAATTCACACAAAATTTTCAGACAATGTTGGCAACACGGACCTTCGCAATCACTGATCGTACTGATCTGCGCAAACTGGCGCCATATTTGTTATCAGTACGGTGATAACAGGAGATAGCTGACAACTGACGTCCATTAAACATGGCACGTGGAATTAGAACAGTCTACCCCAGTGAGCGAAATAAAGGGTTCGTTTAAGTTGTGACATGAGACGACGTGAAATAACCCTCGGCTTGCCTTTATCCGCCCTTTTGCGTGTAGGGTCGGCGGTGAACTTTTCCACTGTTTGATGACACCTCCCTATCATTTTAGAAATTTCTAGGGGTAGATTTACCTTTTGAGAGTTCTGAGGTGATAGATTTCTTTTCAGCATCACTTAAACTGCTTTGGCGGCCCATCTTTTCACTAAATTCTTACACTTTTCTAATAATTTGGCACGTTCAAATCACCGTGCTGATAACAAATATGACGCCAGTTTGTTTACATTGCGCAGATCAGTACGAAAATTTCAGTGATTGCGCAAGCCAGTGTTGCCAACATTGTGTGAAAATTTTGTGTGAATTGATTCGACGGTTTTTGAAATATTAGAAAAAAATTACCTCGATAATAATTTGGCACGCAGTGTATTTGATCGAAGTGGCTAAGTGGTTTAGGCTACTGTAACCGAGTAGAACAATCTAGCAGATAGCAGTAATGGAACTGGTACTCGTCGTAGTCGCAATCAATAGGTGTAGGCAATAGGATAGCCAATGGCGTAGTCCAATCGGCGTCGTCGTACCTCCACATCCATCTGTATTTATGGCTGACACCAGCCAATCATTTTCCTATGAGGGGGAACACAGGTGTATGCATATTCATTACATCATAAACAAACACACATGCCGTTTGAAATATACTGTATTTAACAAATACGATATATTTAATAGGAGCTGTTGGCGGGCGAAATTTCCGTAAGAAAGTGGAAAAAAGAAAAAGAATGAACGGGTTTTGTTGCCTTTTCAATAGTTCGTGTATTAACGATTCATCAATTAGCGAAATGGCCATATTTTGTGATAAAATACGAGTTTATCTCTCCAAATCTTATCGGTAAGAATTTTTGCCATGTAATGATAAGTAGGTCTGTTTCTTCTAGGACTAGGATCTCGTTCTCACCGACTTCTCCTTCTCCGTCACTGAAAAGTAACCGGAAGAATTTCCCTAGTTGGGACAATAAAGTTAGCCGATACAGTGTAAATTCGTTGTAATCAATGATACTGAAAAAATGAACAACGTTTTCCTGGGAAGATGACGGTTGATTTGATTTTTAAGTTGCACACAGAGACAGTGTTACTTTGATGTATTGGCCGGAGACTAAACTAGCATCGTCCTGGGTATGACGATAAACTACATCTGGCAGCAAGATCTCTGATCGGGCGGTTTTGAGGAGCGTGGAACCACCTCTTAATTGTTGCTGTTTCCGAGATCAATCCTGACCCGGGCTAGTAATACCTGTTATGGGCTCATTGTTAACTCCAAACTGGGACCCAAAATCTATGAAAGTATCAATAAATTATAGTAAAAATACCAGCAATACATTTTCATAATAAAATATAGATATACAGCGCTACATTTATGTAAAAGAAATTAATGCCACCAAAAATTAAATTTCTGCATTAAATGAATCTTGAAGGAGTTGATATGCCGCTAAGCAAACAAACAAACACAAAAATAGCTACACAACCGACTCAACACACTACGGAATAACTACAGCTGTTTCATGTCACGTACTTTGATGATGTAATTGTACCATATCATGAGAAAAGGATCTTGGGAGAATATCGTAGAATTTGAATTTTGTGCAGAAATGTACAGGTTTCTTTTCCTATACGTGCTTGTCCAGTGCAACTTAAAGTTTTCTTTTTCAGTCTCTCATCAATGCAATCGTATCTTATGGTGTTAAAATTAGATCTACCGATGTTGCCTGGTAAAACATACAGTTCTCTTCTCATCGACTCGCTGTATAGGTTAAACATAGGTTAAATAAGTTATAGGTTAAATAAGTTAAATTAAGTTAGAAAACGCACTGTGCCTCTATTCTAAAATATTCCTAAACCTGGTTCATTGTGAAGAGATTGGTTGCCTTTCCGTTAAATATACCAAAACAAATTCATTTATCGTCCTTATATTTTGTACGTGTACCTGTGGGATACAGCAGAAGATTTAACTGAAACATATTCTTATTTTGGAAGAAGTCTATTATATTTCTGTTATTCTGATTTATCATTTATTGTAACGATTACTATTTGTAACCGTCCTGTGTTAGACTACAATTTCTATTTCATTATAAATATCCCGAAAATAAAAATATACATATTGGAAGGAGTTTATTATATTTCTGTTATTCTGATTTATCATTTATTGTAACGATTACTATTTGTAACCGTCCTGTGTTAGACTACAATTTCTATTTCATTATAAATATCCCGAAAATAAAAAAAATACATATCGGAAGGTGTTTATTATATTTCTGTTATTCCGATTTATCATTTATTGTAACGATTATTATTTGTAACCGTCCTGTGTTAGACTACAATTTCTATTTCATTATAAATATTCCGAAAATAAAAATATGCATATTGGAAGGAGTTTATTATATTTCTGTTATTCTGATTTATGATTTATTGTAACGTTTACTATTTGTAACCGTCCTGTGTTAGACAACAATTTCTATTTCATTATAAATATTCCGAAAAAAAAAATACATATACCTGTGATTTGGTATAAGTAACTTCACAGAACAATTTTTTTTCTCTAAAAATATCCACTTCCCAGATTTCTTCACTGGAATAAATGGAATCTGTCTTTTACGTTACTAAATTACTCATGGCCAATGTCGGTGTCAATAAAACTTGACACAAAAGAATAATGACATTAACCACTCTCTGTTGCCAATATGGACGCTAAAATAGATATTTCCTTTGCTATACATTTCATTTGTTACAACATGAGATTTGATTATGGTTTGTTTAGGAAACAGAGAAGATCAATGTCGGTGTGAACAAATTGCCATCTTGTTTTATAATAGGTCTGACGCGACGTAATCAAATAATTTATCTCGTACTTATCTAGCACATGCTGGGTAGGGTTTCCGTCCTGGGTAAGACAATAAACTACATCCACATCCTAGGTAAGATGATAAACTACATCCGCGTACTGGGTAAGACGATAAACTACATCCGCGTCCTGGGTAAGACAATAACTACATCCGCGTCCTGGGTAAGACAATTACTACATCCGCGTCCTGGGTATGACAATAAACTACATCCGCGTCCTGGGTATGACGATAAACTACATCCGCGTCCAGGGTAAGACAATAAACTACATCCACGTCCTGGGTAAGAGGATAAACTACATCCGTGTCCTCGGTAAGACGATAAACTACATCCGCGTCCTGTGTAAGACGATAAACTACATCCGCGTTCTGGGCAAGACGATAAACTACATCCAACTGCAAGATCTCTGATCAGGGGGTTTTGAAAAGCGTGGAAGCACCTCTTAATTTCTGGTGTTTCCAGGTCCATCCTGACCCGGGGTTGTATCAATTGTTAGGCTCCCACCTACAGGCAAATATTTAATCCCCAAACTGGTGTCAAAACACTATGAAAGTGTAAAAATGGGTTTTGATCCCAGCAATACATTTTTGTAAAAATATTACTAGCAATGAATTTTAAAGAAAAAAAAAATTATTACCAGCAATGAATTTTTGAAGGCAAAAATATTACCAGTAATACATTTTTCCAGAAAATAATACCAGTAATATATTTTTGGGAAATAAATATTAGCAGCAATACATTTTTGAAAAAAACATATTGCTAGCAATAAAAATCTTGTCGGCATTAAATAACCCTTTGACGTTGATATGACGTAAAAAAAACCCCAAAACAAACAAAAAACAAAAAACAGACGTACACCAAACCGAGTAGGGTTTATTATGTCTGAGTTGCATCTCTGTCTTCGGGTAGATTGCGGCTCAGTTATGTCATAGACGCAGCTGAGAAGAAAAAAAATACAGAGTGATGACCGATCCCGGGAAACAACGGCTCGAGGCTGTACCCATCTTATTGCACTAGAAGGGTATCTGTAATTATGGCGATCCCAGCGCAACCGATGGTTGTGAGGGTTGGACAAACTTTGGTGCTGGCCCGGGTGTAAGCATTTTTGATTTTTTGCGTTTGCTAGGCCCATTTCATAATTTTTCATATCACGTCTTCGACTCCA